TTATCCAAGCCTTTACAGCCATAGAGGCTGGACAGTCTCCCCAGGCCTGGCTGGCCGCATTAAAAGCTTGATTGCGCAGGATGCGAGGCTAGTGCACTGCACTTGGGTCTAGCTGTATTGCAAAACCCAAGAAGAGCAAGTCTAATTGCATGTGGGTTGATGCCCTATTCCCACCTCTGCAAAAAAGGGTATCGGATGGGTCAAGTGTTCTCTAGGTGGGTGATACCTGGACTAACACCAGTACAATGTCCAAGTTGTTTTTTGGCAGAGATTAGACCTCTGCTCTTGCCTGCTGCTTAAAACAATAAAGAGGGAACTGTAGAGAGCCATGCACGGCCGTGCCGCAAAGATGGCGCCGGCGTCTGGCTTCTGCCTTCTGCCTTCCTGATGGCAGGTGCTCCTTATTTGGCTAAGGCTAGGATCTGGCTTGCTTCCGTGCACCTGGACCTAATCTGGCTTGCTTGTGTATGTCTGACCCTATCGGCATTATCCACGTGGCACCACGGGGTTGATTGCCCAGTGGCTATAAAGGGTGTGGGCTGGCTTTCCCTGGGAAGAGATCAGAGTGAGAGAGACAGAGAGAGAGAGAGAGAGAGAGAGAGAGAGAGAGAGAGAGAGAGAGAGATATCAGAGTGAGAGGAGATCAGAGTGAGAGAGAGAGAGTGAGAGTGAGAAGATGGCTTTCCCCGGGGTCAGAAGATTGTCTCAAGGTTCCTGAATAAACTGCTTAGAGAAGAGCCTGGTGTTGCGTCTTCCTTGCTGGTTGAGGCGGACGCGACACTTACCCAGGTCACCCCTGCCATGGATTGTTTTCAGTTGCTGTAACAAAAAGATAACCAAAAACGTGCTGTGGGATGGTCTGTATGTTAAATTGCTCTGATTAGTCAATAAATAAAACACTGATTGGCCAGTGGCCAGGCAGGAAGTATAGGCGGGACTAACAGAGAGGAGAATTGAGAGAATAAGAAGGTGGGAGGAGACATTGCCAGCCACTGCCATGACAAGCAGCATGTGAAGATGCCGGTAAGCCACGAGCCACGTAGCAAGGTATAGATTTATAGAAATGGATTTAAGATATAAGAACAGTTAGCAAGAAGCCTGCCACAGCCATACAGTTTGTAAGCAATATAAGTCTCTGTGTTTACTTGGTTGGGTCTGAGCAGCTGTGGGACTGGCGGGTAACAGAGCTTTGTCCTGACTGTGGGCCAGGCAGGAAAACTCTAGCTACAGAGGAGGATAGGGTTTATTTCAACTTATACTTTACACTTCTGGGTAGCACTCCGTCATGAAGGGAAATCAGTATAAGAACTCAGGGTAGGAACTTGGAGACAAGAAGTGAAGCAGAGACCGCAAAGGAATGCTTCTTAATGGCTTGCTATCAATGGCTTGCTCAATCTGCAACCCAGGACTATCTGCCCAGGGTTGGCACCACTCACAGTGGGCTGGGCCCTCCTACATCAACCATTAATCAAGAAAATGCTCCACAGACATACCCAAAGGCCATTCTAATGGAGGCAATTCTTCAGCTGAGGTTCCATCTTCCTAGGTAACTCTGGTTTGTGTCAAGTTGACAAAAGCTAACTAGTGCAATTGATCCCTTGTCAACTTAACATACAAATACATCACCATTAAACCATAACCTTTCCTTTCTTGATTGTCCCCAGAGTGCATGTAATATTAGCATTATAATACAAAGCACAGTCCATCTTTTAAAAGTCCCATTTAAAAAAATTGCAATGAGCAGTGCCACTATGTAACTACAGTTTATTAAAAACCATAAATGGCTTTAAAAGCTGTCTCTGGGGCTGGAGAGACAGCTCAGTGATTAAAAGCATATACTATTCTTATACAGGACCCAGGTTCAGTTCCTAGCATCCATATGGAAGCTCACAACCATAATTCCAGTTCCAGAGGATCCCATGCTCTCTTCTGGCTCCCAGGACACCAAATACACACATGGTACACATGCACGCAGGAAAAACACTCACACACATAGAATAAAATTTAAAATTCAAAGCCGTTTAATAGGTTAGAGCTCACAGCATCTCATTGTGTCTGGATACACCTTCACAGCCCAGCCTAGAGGCATGCTTTGCTAAGCCCCTCAATTGGCTCTTCATGCATCAAGTTGACAGTGTTAAGGCTACCTATCACATGACATTTCTTACTCTTCTTCCTGAATTTCCTACCTTGTAATAAATGATCATTTTGATCCAGTTCTGAGACTGTGAGGTATTTCTCATCTGAGCAATTTCTAAATAAAACTCCAGACACAGCAGTCAGCTTCCTGGAGGGTGAAAAATGGAGAAACGCTAGAGAGAAGCTGCGCTGGTCACTGTGTGATGTGCTCATGACTTAACCACCAGCGCTAGTGTTCCCACATTCACACCGCATTGTCTCCAGCGATGTTCGCGTGTGCACACACATGCTCACAGTCCATTGTCACCAGCAGAAGGGTGTGCTCTCCAGAGATCCGTGGAAGAGACATTTCATTCCCAAGCCTTTTCTTTCCTCACTTTGATGCAACCTCAGGGGCAGGTTCCATTTCTGTGTCAAGTTCTACTCAACTCAACCAGCGTCTTTCCGAATCCACCCACTCCCATGCTGGGCTTCGGGTTTGGCCCCGTGGGGAAACACAGATGAGGCTGACCGACGCACGGAGGGGAATGCAGGCTTCATGGCTGGTGTGGAGGCAGCTCTTCCAGGAGTGTGTGCAGAGGCAGTGTCCACAGGGTCACTCTGCACCTCTTGGCCCTGTCTGCAAAAGCAGTGAGCACATGAGTGAAGGGCTGGGTGGGTGAGGACACAGGTCTTCAGTGGACAGAAGGTAACTTGAAGGAGGGGGAACAGTAGTCCTGTCTTAGGCCCCACCCCCATTGCTGCTCCTGTTCCACAAAAGTGGCATTTGTTTCAAACCAAACAGAACTAAAGGACAAACCAAATAACAGGACAATAGGTTAACGCCGTGGCTTTTAAAGTGATTTCCAAAAAAAGCTACCAGAAGGAATCTATGACAGCAAGGAGCATTCAGAAGAGCTGGGTGAAGAATGATGGCATATTTAGAAATTTTCAGTGCCCCCACCAACTAGGCACAGTCCCTGTAACCTTTCCCGCTCCAGATCATTCACTGCTTACCCCTCTGATGTTGTGTGGGTGTCTCTAAGGCCAGGAGCAGTTTGTTCTTTAATCTATAGTCTCCCTGCAGGAGAGTGAGTGTGGGGCAACCCTTGAGTGCAGCTGAGATGGGGTCCGCTGACACGGAGAGGAGAAGGCCTCACTCCTGGCTGTAGGAGAAAGAGTTTTTACTCTTATGTGTGATGCTAGGGTCCTTTGTAGACATCATTTACAAAGCCTTCTTCTTCCTTCCTTCCTTCCTTCCTTCCTTCCTTCCTTCCTTCCTTCCTTCCTTCCTTCTTTCCTTCCTTCCTTCCTTCTTTTTCTTTCTTTCTTTCTTTCTTTTTTACATCAATTTGAGATGGCTATCAATATGGTATATCATACTGGAAGCTTTTAAAACTCTTATTATATTTGTTTATTTTTTGTTTGGTATATAGCAAAATATACCCAGCGTAGCATCCATCATTTTAGTTATTTTAGATGAGCGGATCAGTGGCATTGCATAAGGTCTCAAGGCTGTGAGATCAGCCCCACCTCCAATGCCAGGACGTTTTTATCGGACTGAATGTCCTATTAAGTGGTACGACCCTTCTCTCTGGGAGCCACTTTATGAATGGCCTCCTCTGGATTCCTTGTATAGGTAGGCTGGTGTTATATTTGGCTGTTGGTAACTCACTGTCTCCTATTACTGAACATGACGTCCTTGAGGTTCATCCACGTTGTAGGCTTCAAGCTCTACTTGAGTTCATCCATGCCATAGGTGCTCAGCTGTGACTCCTCACCTCTTCCCATCCTGGAGGAGCAGAGAGCAGAGAATGCTGGCACTGTGCTCCGTGCCTCCTTTTTATTCAGTCCCAGGTCCCAGCCCATGGGTTGGTGCTGCCCATATTCTGGGTGGGTTTTCCCTCCTCAGTTAAATGTCTCTGGAGACACTTTACATTCCTAGGGATCTATCCATTTCTGTTAGGTTACCCGGCACGTCAACACTCAACATCACAGCAATATCTTTTAGTCTTTTTAATTCTGTGACATCAATTGTGATATTTTCTTTCATATCTGAATTTGGTTATTGAATTCTTCCCTCTTTTTTTTCTTAGTTATCTTGCGAAGAGTCTGCCAATTTGTTGATCTTTAAAGAATTGTTAGTGCCACTGATTTTCCTGTGTTATTTTCCTCTTCACTTACTTCATGTAGCTCTGCTCCAATCTTTATTTTCTTTCTTCTGATGGCTGCAGGTTCAGTTTGTGCTTATTTTGCTTACTGAGTTATAAAGTTAGGATTTTAATTTGAGATCTTTCTCTTTCAACATGAAAGTTAATAGTGCATCCTTCCCTCACAGTCGGCCTGTCGCTACACTCCCTACACTTTGGTGCACCGTTTTTTTTTTTTTTCCAAAATGTATTTATTTAATGTGTATATGTGCATGTCTAAGTACCATGTGTGTACTGCACTTGCAGAGACCACAAGAGAGTGCTAGATCCCCTGGAACTGGAGTTGCAGAAGGTTGTGAGCTGCCATGTGGATGTTGGGAATTGAACCTGGGTCCTCTACAAGAGCAAAAGACAACTGTCATCACTGAACCATCTCTCCATCCATATCTTCATTTTACTTTTCTCAAGGTGTTTTTCATTTTTCTTGTTAGCTATCCTATGACCTATTGGTTGTTTAAGAACGTGTTGCTTGCTGGGTTTGGTGGCACACATCTTTAATCCCAGCACTTGGGAGGCAGAGGCAAGTGGACCTCTGTGAGTTCAAAGCCAGCCTGGTCTTCATAGTGAGTTCCAGGCCAGGGCTACATAGTGAGACCCAGTAAGAAAAAAAAATGTAACTTTATATATATATATATATATATATATATATATATATATATATATATATATATATATTTGTGTGTATTTCCATTTTCCTCCTAGGATTGATTACTAGCTTCATTTCATTCTGACTGGGGGGCAGTTTACTGTGTGGGATTTTAATATTCCTGATTCTATTGATTTGTTTTGCTTTGTGGCCTAACACAAGGCCTGTCGCAGAGGATGCACATGAGCGTCCGTTACGTCAGTCTTCCTGGTCAATACGGTTGTTCAGGTGCCTGCTCCCCTCCCGTTGTCTTCTGGTTGTTTCATCCGTTATTGACAGTGGGGATATTGAAGGCTTCTGCCAACGTGGCTGCTATCAATTTCTCTCTCCAATTCAGTCAGTGTTTGCTTTGTGTATTCAGGAGCTCCTTCAGCGGCTCCAGCCATACTGAATCGATGTTCCTTCCATACACCCTGAGCAGCCTTCCTCCCTGGAGTCCTCATTGCATTTCTTCCTCCGTGTTGAGCTCCCTGACCTTGGCTCGCTGGCATCCTCACACCATGTCCTCGTGACCACATTTTCTTTCCACACCCAAAGCGGGGTGTAGCCTAATGTTCACATCACTCACCACATTCCTCAATTTCCTTTCAGTTTGATCAATGATCAAATAATGTCACAATCACATGTTTGTTAGGGCTGTATAGCTATTGTGTCTTTTACAACATTTTAGTCACATGAGGTCAAGGTGTCCTTGGCTTGGATACCCAGTGGCATTGTCTCCACAAGCAAGTGCTGAATGAATGAATGAATGAATCTTTACTCTTATAACAAGCTTTTGAGGCATATGGTATCTTTATTTTTGTCACCGAAGAAGCCAAGGCTCAGAGACACAAAGCCACTTGCCCAGAGTCACAAAGCCGATAAGGAGCCGAGCTGAGACTTGAACTCAGGCACTGAAAGGGGCCTCGTGAGCACCATGCATAGGTACTTGTGGGCAGGAAGCTCCACCTCTGCAGCCTTTCTCCCTTGCCCACACTCCTTAACTCACCCTCTCTCCAGCCTTTCTGACCTTGAACAGGCTGACCATGTCCAGCCTCTAGACCTTCACAGGTGCTGGGCCTCGCCCTGGAGTGCCCTTCCTGCCATAACCACCCACCAAGTTCCCACTCCACCTCCTACCGAGTGTCAGAGCCCCTCGGAACCTTCCCGACCTCCTGGTTAGATTCAGCCAAGCCCCCATTTCTTAGTCTGTAGCTGGACCAGCCTCTAGGAACAAAGCCACACCTTCAGCATCCTGCCAAGAACCCCAGTTTCCAACAGCAACAACAGCCTTCATCATTCAGATGGCCAGCCTGGCGGCCGCAGGTCCATCACTATGACTCCTGACACCGCACCCCACCCTGCCATGATCCCCACTTCTGTTTGATACATAGTTGCATGGTGCTTTGCTTCCTCACTACAGAATACAAGCACATGGTCATTTAAAGAGATCAAGTAATAACTCCCATGATCCTTTTTGCCAGATAAGGGAGCCAAAGTACCTTCTGCACAGCAGTCTCTCACTTGGTGAGTGTGCGGTTGGGTCTTTGCTTGCTTGTGTGACACTAGCTCAGCAAGGCTCTGGGGAGGGGGTCTCCTGTGGCCTTCCCATTGTTATCAAGTCAGTATTCAACTGCATCACACCGATGTCATCCGCCTCTTTGCTCAGGCAAAGACAACATCAACCGCAGATCTAACCACCGTGTCTGAGTCATCTGGCTGGGGACTACTTGCAGGTGGTTCCCAAGGTGTCCATTGAGTTGGTCTTATGGATCATCCTGAGGGTGGCTGGCTTCTTCCCTGGACAGGAATGATGTAATGACTCCTTCCATGATGGTTAGTGGAGTGAGTTGGGCTGTTAATCTTAGCAAGTGTTCTCTTCAGGTACTTCTTCCCCCAATATTGGGTTTATTCAATGGTCTAGTGATGAGGCTGGAGCATGCCCTGTAGTAAGGAGGTACACCCTAGGTGTAAGGGGTGAGCTGTAAACAATGAGCTGCTCCTAACCATCACCTCTACCTCCTGGCCCATGAATGACCTTTCTCCCCTTTCTTTGCTCTGTTGGCTTGGTGTGCCCCAACCTGAGGCGGCTGCGGCTGGCATGAGGTCGAGGGTCTTTAGGGTGCTATATGGGAGTGAGAACAGGCTAGGCATGGTGGTACATGCCTTTAGTACCAGCACTCGGGAGACAGAAGCAAGTGGATCTCTGTGAGTTCAAGATCAGCCTGGTCTACAGAGTGAGTTTCAGGCGAGGCAGGATTACATAATGAGACTCTGTCTGAAAAACAAACGTACAAATAAACCCCAAAGCAAATAAACAAACAGATTTAAAAAAAGAGTCAGACTAAGGAAGAGAGAGCGAGAGAACGAGAGAGAGAGAGAGAGAGAGAGAGAGAGAGAGAGAGAGAGAGAGAGAGAGAAAGAGACAGAGAGAGGGAGAGAGAACATGCTGTATGACCATGAGAGGATGGTGGGGGCGGGGGCAGAGAAACACCTTCAGACAAACTCCCTGAGGGGCCTTCAGAGAAATACAGAAAATAGGACTCACGATTTTCCAGGAGTTGGTGGTAAGTTTTACATTGTGAGCTTTAGCTCAACATCGTAAGAGTAACAAAGGGCATAGAGGCGCTAAGTCCTGGCCAGGACCAGAAGTTGGGAGCTGTTAGCCACCACTTCTTAAGACTTTGTCCTGGAGAGAGAGCTGCAGGGGGGTGTGGCCTGATTTCCTAGGCTGTGGAATCTCAGAAGTGACCTTGTCTCAAAGTGGCAAGGCTGTGGTTTAACAAGGACCCCGCTCACACCCCCTCAGGGTGGCCTTCTGAGAGGGAGCCTGGACCCTGCCTGTGTGCTCAGGGCTCCAGCACAGGCCTCTCCCTTCCAGCGTCCACAGGCTTCTGTCTTTCCCTTATTTCTTTAGGGTGAATGTGTGAGTAAGCGGATGATGAACCTACCACTTGGCCCTGCCTCCTCGGCTCTGGGCACACACGGCTTCTTGGGCTTGATGCTCAGAACTCCCCCTCCTCAGATCTGCTTCCCCACAGACTCACCACCACTGTTGACTGATTCCCCTCTGACATGGCATCTTCTGTAAGGTGTTGGACACAAAAGGTGGTATCGTGCAGGCGCTGCAGCAGCACACAGGCGGGTGCATGGCTGCATGGCTGCATGGCTGCATTGCTGGTTTCTGGTCAGCCGGCCCTGGCTGTCATGAGTCCATGGGAAGGCAGATGAGTCACCATTAGCAGTCCTGTGCCTGAGCTGAACTTCTGGGGTGTCTGTGTGCCCTTGGACAAGATGCTTCACCCCTCTGTTTCCTGGTTCCTGCTGCAACACGGGTGTTTGCGGGGCTTTGCGTGGTGCATGAATTTGCCTCTATCTATTAGACGTCATCAGCTGCCTTTCTTTGCCATCTTCAGTTAGGAGAGTGGCTCTGGCCCCGGGTGTCACAGTTAAATATTGACTCGTTGAGCACCAGTGGGAAAGGGACAGTCCATTCAGGAGAGTCGGTTGCTGGGAACTTCTCAGGCCTTTGCTTCTGCAGGAAGTGTATGGGGCATGGGGAGAAGGGGAGAGAGAGAGAGAGAGAGAGAGAGAGAGAGAGAGAGAGAGAGAGAGAGAGAGAGAGATATTAATGGAGACAGTAATGAAGAAGGATCATGGACCAAACCAAACATATCGGGGTACAATCATGGCTGCCCTCCCTGAGGCCTGATTCTGTCCTGATCTCCCCACCCTACACCGAGAAGAGGAAATGGCTTATGCATCTGCTCTTTTTCCTTCAGAAGGGAAGAGGGGGCACAGAAATGAGGCAAATGAGAGGTACCTGCGGAGGCAGTGGTTGGCTACCCCAAGTCCCCACCCATGACCTTCCGGCATTGGCCAAGTGGCTGAGAGACTTTGGGGAGCATCTCCCACAGCCTTCCCTTCTTCCTGCCTCTCACCGGTTCCACCCCAACTTGCTGTGTGGCCACACACGGATGCTGGACTGCTGCAGGTTTCTGCTCATCTGTTGAGTGCTGAGTGCAGATGGCGGCCTCATGTCTCAGTGTGCACGTGTGTGTGTGTGTGCATGTGTGTATGTGTGTGTGTGTGCGCGCACTCTCTCGCACGCGTGCATGCAGCTGATGCTCAATAGGTGCTGTGTAGATGTTGCTTCTTGTAGCTGGTTTCTGAAACCCAGGGTTGCACCCATCCTTCCCCTCCAGCAGGGCAGGCAGGACCCCAAGGAAATCTCTGCCAGCAGCCTCACTCTGGAAAAGAGAAAAAGAAAATATTCTAACTCTGAAAGCAAATGTCACAGGCTTGGGAGGATTTCTGAAAACAAACTGCGTGAAATGAGAGGAAAGAAACAGAGAGAAAGGAGGGTGTGGGGAGTGAGCGATGTTTAAAAACCGGGATTGTGCACACAGAAATCGGACTTTCTTTTCTGAAATACGAGGAGGTTGGGCCGCACTGGATGTGGCCTTTGTGGGGCCTAGGCTGGAATTCTGTCCCTCTAGGACACCTAGGCCTCTGCATAGACACTCTCTCAGTCCTAGCCTCCTCAGCTCTGAGCACATTGCCTCTGTCCCACTCAGGCACTTCTGCAACCCGATGACCCTGGAGGCTTCCAGGAGGTGACCCCGGACCAGAAAATCTGATGCTCAGGACCACTCAGCCCTGGGACTCTATGATAGCTTCAGCTCAGATGTCACCTCTGCAGGGAGGCCACCTGGGACAAAGTGGACATGGTGGCCCCTTCTTCCTCCTTCTTCATCCCTACCAGGAGATAACAAGAGTGTCTGGGTTGGCTGCCTGTGGTTCAGCAGGAGCTAGTAGTTGAATTAGGGCTGTCCCTGCGTCCTTGCGCTCTCTCTTGGCAGGGAGAGCCCCCTCAGAACCACTTAGAGTTAGGAAAAGCCTTGTTCCTCATAAAGGCTACTGGGCTGAACTGGAGGAAAAGCCAGGAAGGCTCCTTCCCACGCTGCCAAAAGTTGACAGTATAAGACCCCACCTTGACCTGAAGACCTCATTGGCTTGTCTTTTAAACCCCCTGGGACAGGCCACGCACAGAGCCGTACACGTTACTGCAGCAACCAAGGAGGAGGCTTGTGATACCAAGGGCTACCTGTCAGCCTGTCTATCTGCCTGTCTCCCCACAACCCCACTTCCTCCTGCAAAGGTCCCACGTAGACCAGGAGTGTGCAAACCCTTTTGCTCATTACTTCATTTAGTCCTCCCCAGAATCGTATGGGAGTAGCCTTTCAAAGCGACTCATTTCCCTGGTGGGGTTGGGGTGGGATTGGTCAAACTCCAATGAACGCAGATGCTCTTCTGAGATGTGACAGCCAGATGGCTAGGAAGTGGAATTTGACCCCATGTCCTTCTGACTCCAGAGGCCTTGTCTTTACAGCGATTCCTCCACGCCCACCCCCACCCCACTGGGTGACTGGGAGCCAAAGATACATTAAAAAAAAAAAAAAAAGGAAAAAAATAGGTGTAGTACTGAGTTTTCTCAGTGCTGTGGCAAAATGTGTAACAAAGGCAGCTTGAGGAGGGGAGGGCTTGTTTTGGCTCTCAGTTCAAGGGTCTCTATCAGGGGAGGAAAGTCACAGCAACAGAGTGTGAGGCAGAGGGTCACAGCTCATGTGCAGCCTTGTTCTTTTTCAGAGCTCCTGTCTATGAAGCCCGTGGTTAAATTTACGTTAAAATTTCTTCTTCTTTTTTTTTTTTTTTTTGGTTTTTTCGAGACAGGGTTTCTCTGTGTAGCTTTGCGCCTTTCCTGGAACTCACTTGGTAGTCCAGGCTGGCCTCGAACTCACAGAGATCCGCCTGGCTCTGCCTCCCGAGTGCTGGGATTAAAGGCGTGCGCCACCACCGCCCGGCCAAAATTTCTTCTTTTAATAAACCCTAGTGCTGCTTCATGCTGGCTCATCCCGAAACTCCCTCATGTGATAGAGTCAAGGAACTGGCTTCACCTGAGTGGACACCTCTGAAAGAGCCCCTCAAGTTGTTGTGGGCGGTCGTGTCTCTGCTGCTGCACACACTGGCTGGTCCCTGGGCCTCACTGGGTAGCTCCTTAGGGTCCTTCCTCAACGTCATCCCTCCCATAGGCTTTCCAGCCTAGCCCTCCATGATGTGGCTCCAGGCTGGCCACTGGATATGCTTAGTGAACATAGAAATTCCCTGAGTGAGTTGGGAGAAGAGAGGCTTCTGCCCTCCTGACTAGCCCTGCCCCAGCTCCCTTGTAATGTCCACCGAGGCTGACATCTGCACTTTTCTTTGGGATCCCAGTTTCAAACTGGAAGGGATACTTTATAGCCTCTTGGCCCCTCAGCCTGGACTTCTTCTCTTTGAGGCCTCAGGAGACACTGGGCTGAGGCTGGGCGTCAGGGCATGGATGGCTCAGCCGTGAGAAAGCTGAAGGATATACTCACACCCTGAGCAGATAAAGGGTGGGGAGTCACACGGACCTGGAAGAGCTGGTCCTGCAAGACATGCCCATGCCATGGGCCTTTCAGAAGCTAGCGAGGGCACTACCTATTGGCTTCTATGTGACTGTCACATGCTGCTCACTGCCCAGTCCAGGCACAGAGGGACCTGTGAGTCACAGTGGGCCCCTTATATTCTGGCTCACCCTGATTTGCCCCCCACTCCCAATGCTACACCTCTATGGATTAGGAAAGGATCCTGTGGGAGGCAGGGGAGACTTAGACCGGTCTGAGCTGTGGGGCTGTGTTTACAAGGGGCGCTCAAGCCTTTGAAGAGATCTCAACTCATCATCCCAGCTTGAGGCCCTGAGCTCCCCCGGGTCCTCATTAAAGAGCCAATAGTGTTGGCTCTAAGGCTGTAGAGGACGAGCAGGTAAATTAGAAAATATATCCTATTTATGGGAGCTGGAGAGATGGACCAGCGGTTGAGAGCACTGGCAGCTTTTGCAGAGGACCTGGGTTCAATTCCCAGCACCTAAATGGCAGCTCACAACCCTCTGTAGCTCCAGTTTCAGGGGGTCCAATACCCTCTTCTGGCCTCCATGGGCACCAGGCATACATGCAGGCAAAGCACTCACATACATAAAATAAAAAATACTTTTATTAACTCTTTGAGAATTTCATATATGCATACAATACATTTTGGTCATAACCACCCCCTTCCCTCCCCCTAACTCCTCCCAGATTCTCTCTTCATCCCCCAAACCTGGCTTTCTCTTCTTTTTTCACCAATCCAGAGTTCAGTTTGTACTGCCCGGATACTCTTGAGTGTGAGGCCGTCCACTGGGAGCATGGTCAACCTACCAGGAGCCAGCCACACAGCCTTAAAGAAAGTGGACTCCCCCACCAGAAACTATCAGTTGTCAATAGCTTCCTAGCTAGGGGTGGGGAACTTCTGAAATAAATGAATGCTGCTTTAAAAAAAAAGTTAAATATGAAATAAGTCTGTTGTGTCAAAGACAGGTCTATACTCCGTAGAAAAGCAGGCTGGCTAGGAGTAGTGGTCTGCAAACATAGGCTGCTTTTCATACTCTGCATGTGAAAACAAGCACACAGCCCTTTGAAGGAGAGGGGACAAACAAGCAAAACAGTGTTCCTGATGAGCAGGTTTCTAATTCCAGCTATTCCAGGAGCCGAGGCAGGAAAGTCACAGGTTCAAGGCCCATCTGGGCTACAGAGTGGGTTCAGCACGGGCAACTTCATGAGGTCACCTTTCAAAATTAAAAAATGCGAAGACAGCTGGATAGGGCTCTGCCTTGGAGTGTTTGCCCAGCACATGCCTGCCTCGGGGCTCAATTCCCAGCACACGCCAAACAAACAAGGATTAAGAAAAATATAAAAGGTCACTCAGAGCAAACAGATGCACACATTTATAGTTTTGAAGGTTTTGCTTTCAAACAGGAAGGACTTAGCCAGTGACCATGTGCTGATGATTGGGGTGGGGCCTGGGAGTTGCTGGGGAGCGTCTTCATGGGTGTGTATAGTAAAGTGAAGACATGGCCTCTCCAAGGTATAGTTGAAAAGGTTTTGATTGTAGATATGGGGGAGAGTAGCTCCAGAGGCATCTGGAAGAGACCAGAACAGGGAGAGAAAGTGAACTGAACTTGGCCAGCAGAGTGAGCTGGGCCTCCATGGGGGGTTGGGAGCTAGAGAGGAGGACTGAGAGAGGACCAAGAGAGAGGGGCAAGAGAGAGAGGGGTAAGAGAGAGGGGGCAGCCGGGCGGTGGTGGCGCACGCCTTTAATCCCAGCACTCGGGAGGCAGAGCCAGGCGGATCTCTGTGAGTTCGAGGCCAGCCTGGACTACCAAGTGAGTTCCAGGAAAGGCGCAAAGCTACACAGAGAGACCCTGTCTCGAAAAACCAAAAAAAAAAAAAAAAAAAAAAGAGAGAGGGGGCAAGAAAGGGGGGGCAAGAGAGAGAGGCAAGAGAGAGGGGGCAAGAGAGAGGAGGCAAGCGGACCAAGACTGAGCATGGCCAAAATGGCAGGGTTATATAGACATGAGAAGCTGGGAGCAGGGAAGACCATGGGCTGAAGAAGTTTAGGACAGGGATGAGAAGAGCTGAGAGGAGCCACAGGTACTGAGCCAGCCTGGAGGCCAGCAGATACTTTGGTATGCTCATAAGCACCACAGTTAGCCATTTTCCCCCAGTTTCTTTTGGACCAGACAGGGTGGAGCGTTTGAGTGGGACATAGCTAGCGACTGATGAGCAGCTGTGACATCCCTGCATTGTTATGTCCTTCTGGTACATAAGACCCTGCCAGGGCCACCTGCATGATTGCACACCCGCTGTCCCCTGTGACCCTTGAGCGGCCACAGCAGGCTTGGGAGGAGGCATGGGAGTCAGGCTCAGGATGGGGCCCCTGCTCCTGGTGTCTGCTTTGCTCAGTGCTGAAGACCCAGAGGACCGTGCGTGCCCAAGAGGAACTGCACAGCCCCCTGTGTCTTGGTGGCTGAGGTCAGCACCCTGAACCCCTCCCACAGCATCCTCCTCTTCTTTCTTCTCCATCTCTACTGTTAAGTTCCAGCTTAGAAACATCTTCCTGCCTGCAGCTCATCTTTGGAAATGCAAGACATAAATGACATAAAAAAAAAAGAGGAAGACATACTATCTGTGGCGTGACAATGGGACAACCCAGGGACTCATTCAGAAGGACATTGGAAGGACCTCACTTCCTGCCTCCCCTGCAGGAAGGCACCACGGGATACTGGAGATGATGTAGACTGAGGATAGCCAG